AACAACGTACTAGCTGTTTAAAGTGATATATTTTTGCTGCTTTAGGAATTTACTAACCTTTTAATCAAGAAACATATTATTTGACTCACCTGGAATAGTACTTATCTGGTAGAACTAAAGTTGAATATCATATATTGATAAAGTTTGTTGAAAAATACAACACTGTTGCTATGGTTACCAAGAAGAGAAAATGTTCAATTTTGTTAATTTTTTGTCACTATTAGACCCTATGTACCAGTTTTTTGCATCCAGTTAGAGATTGGGTGGTAGTCAAAATTGAAAGTCACGTTAGTTGTTCACATATATCAATCATTAAAGTTTTGGGATTCTACATACAAGTGTACGTATCCAAGAAAACAGAGTATTTTTCAGATTTTTATGCATGTTTTTTTGCCTTATTTCCATAGCAACGCACTATTTAAAGAATTGAAATAGAATTTTTTGAAATGTGAAAATAAGGGTCACACCAAAGCTTTTAAAAATTGATCATCAGTTATATAGAAATATGCTTTTTAAAAAGATAGGATAAGATTAAAACACTAAGAGAGTAAATTTAAAATCCCTTTGTGGTATTAAAACCATAGCAACCATTGCCAACCTATAAGAAATGTCATATTTTGTCCATGGTATATGTTACAAGGATCTCTTTTCTATTGTTTGCTTGCATTTCAACCTATAATTGTTTTTATTCTTAAGTGTATAACTTTATAAAATTAAATAAACAAAATTATTACTTTTGAATACTTTGTTTCCATAGTAACGTATGTTATAGTTGATTTACCAAATATGTTTATCATGCATTTAAGACACCAGGCCTTCAACTTTCAGAAACAGTCATTGCCACTTGTATGCTTTGCTGCAAACGTTAACTGTGGGACTCTGAACATGTTGAAAAATGCCATTTTTCAAACTTGTGAACACGTTGCTATGGTAACCATGGCACGTAGCAACCAATTTTTGCCTGATTTGAGTTTACGGTATCAAAGACTTTTATCATAGAGAGTTTGGAGAAATTCTGAGACTATGCGTGCCACAGCTCCTATATAAAAGTTCAAGTCATTACAGAGAATGGCTCTTAATATGACTAATCATGGACCTGCTGTTCTTCAGAAGAAAATTTTTAATTTTTTTCCTTATACATTTCCATGTAAGCTTTGACAATCTTCTATGGCCCCACCCTATCCCAAGGTCAAGATTTATCAAACATGAATCTACACTACCTGAGGATGCTTCCATATAAATATGATTAATCACGGCTTTGCTGTTCTTGAAAAGAAGATTTTCAAAGATTTTTCTTCTATATTCCTATGTAAAAATTTGATTGCCCTTTGTGGTCCTACCTTTTCTTTGGAGGTCATAATTTGAACAAACTTGAATCTGCATTTTCTGAGGATGCTTCCATATTAATATAACCAATGAAGGTCCTGCAGTTCTTGAGAAGAGGATTTTAAGATTTTATCCTACATATTTCCATGTAAACTTTGATCCTCTCCTGTGGCTCTACCCTACCCTGGGGTGCCATGATTTGAATTAATTCACACAAGGATACTTTGTGGCAAGTTTGATTGAAATTGGTCCAGTGGTTCTTGAGAAGAAGTTGCAAATGTGAAAAAGTTTATGCACAAGCACACCCAAAATACTATGGTGTGGCACACCTTGATAGAACGTTCTATCCTCAAAATGATTTTGTCCTATGGACCCGGTTTAATGATAGAATTTGTTCCATGTATTGGCAATGTAGCAAAATAAACACGGGCGACAACTCGAACTCTGTGCATTTTCTAAGAACAATCCAGAGAGTTCTGAATGTCAACGTGGCATGTAAATTTGAAGCAAGGAAAAACGTTGAGGAAATGAGTTAAATTTTCGTATCTATATGGATTATTTTTAGGTTAAAAGGCATATGCAATCTCAAAAATGTTTGTTATGATTAATTTGGTAGTTATTTTCAGTGCAACTCCTTTTGTATTCTTCAAAATCACTTTAGAGTGGATCCACTCCAATTTGCTACACTGCAAGTATATGAGACATATTCTAACTGTGTTGAGGGCTTGTTCAAAGACACAGTTAGATTATTCTAACTATATGGCACACCCAGATGACGATGGACAAAAACAAATAGCAATAGGTCATCCAAGTCACTCAGGTGACCTTAAAATAGTTAGTCTGGCAATAAGCAGCAACAACCCAGTACAATACAGTATACGAGGGGTTATCAAAAAGTTCATGGACTGATGCGATAAAAGTAATACTATGTAGTCTGTGCTTACAAAATTTATGAAAAACATAAATCAACAAAAGTTTAAGAAAAGTTGAAAATTTTAACTTGATACGTTGATAATTTGCCAAATTATTCTAAAATAAAAAAGACATTACATGATCACCCGGCACTGTCGCCGTTTAGTTTCATGACGTCCGACAACGTCATTGTTTCTCAATGTCCACTCCGTCTACCTTATACACTTATCTTGATGTGATTACCTGGAGTTAAGTAAGGACTTAAGTCCATCTTGTTTATGTGACTTTACAGTGTCATGAACAGCTGCTTTCAATGCATATAATATAGTTTTTCCAGGTGCGAAACTTTAAAGAATGTTGGAAACAAAAACCCCTCCCCCTTTTTGACGTCATTTTTGAGCCCTTAATTGTTTGTACACGCCATATAAATTTACGATAAAATTTCATAGAATTTACAGAATGGGGTAAAAATTGCAAATTTTACGACAATTGTGTTGTACCACATGCCTGGATTAACTGGATTTTTTGACGACAAATGCTCATATCAAAAGAGGTTTTTCTCAGTTACACTCAGGTAGAAAAAACGTCATATGTGAGGTTGTGCCGCTTGGACATACCACTGCTTACAAAAACAATAACAATTTATTAAAAAATAAAACTTATGATTTATAATTTATTCCATCTATAGAAAAGAGGATGCTAACTAAATGTATTAAAATTCATTGATGTACCTAAAGCGGTTTTAATTTTATGGTGCTAGTCCACGAACTTTTTGATAACCCCTTGTAATTCTTTTATTCAATTATTCATCAATTACATTATTTATAGTGATTAATTACCATAGGTGAATGACAAAAGGGAATGACTTCTCTTAAAGCAGATTAAAAATTTCCATACATGATTTTAAAAGATCCTAATCCCAACTGAATTGCACATTTTTTTTGGAAGAACCCCCCTTGCTCATTATGACCAGCACTTACCTTGTGTGCTAAATACCAAGGACCAGAAATTTTTTTTTCAAAGAATTGATGCATTTTAGCTATGCAATCAATAGAGCCCCATCCTAACAACCCCCAACCCAACCAAGGGGTCATAAATTTCATAAGGCCATTCCAAATTTCTCTGTTAAGCATCCTTCCCATCTTTCAAAAACCTACCTACCTATTTGCAAAAAAACACACAAGCCAAAAAATAAAACCCAGACTCTATAGTCCTAAAAATGATGTCATTCAAAGGATTTGATTTTATTAATCTATTTTTCTTGTAGAAAGATATAATCTTTTGCAAAAGCAAGGTATTAAATGCTTAAAATGTACCAAATATAACATAATGCCGACAGAGATTTAGAGAAATTGTCAGAATTAAAAAACTTCAACCAGAATAATCAATTTCAGGACTCCTAGTCGATTTTGTTTGTTTTTTCCGATATTGGGTGTCAAAAAACCAAGGCACAGTCAGACGGTAAACAGTAAACTTAAAAAAAAATTGGAATGGCCTAACCTTGGAAAAAACATTCTTGCCTATCATAACCATGCACTTAGTTTGTACTCTTAAAACCCACAGAGAAGTAGATATTCAAAGAATTAATGCATTTTTTCACTCTATGATCAGTAGAGCCTCATAGTATCTTCAGAGCCCCTAACCAAGGGGACAAGAATTTCACAATTTTGGAAGAGGCACTCTTGCCCATCATAACCATGCACTTACTTTGTCTGCTAAATGCCCAGAAGTAGAGAAGATTTCCAAAGCATTAAGGCATTTTTACTATATGATCATTAGAGCCCCACCCTATTAACACTACAATCCCTGACCCTGGATCCATGAATTTCATAATTTTGTAAAGGGCTTAATGCTTATTATAGTAATCAAACAGTTTGACCGATTGATGTCCAGGACTGGAGTAAATTTGCCATTTGGTTATGTTTGTTAAAAGTCTACTTAGAGCCCTGTTCTTTCTGAAGTTCATGTGGTTGCTTTTGCTATATCTGTCAAAAGACACAAGCAACCTGGACAGCAATGATATACTATTAGTATAAAGGGACTGAACTGGCACAGTTCTTAAAAATATCGGGTGCATCTGCCATGAGTATAAAAGAGGAGAGGAGCAGATCAGCATCCTTGGCTATACTAAGAAGATAATTTTCATGGACTATAACCAATCATTGCTTCTCATTCTTACTGGATACATATAAATCTACTTGTCACAAAGTGGATGTCTAAATGAGAAGCAAAGTATTTCCTCTCTCTGCACATGTAACTAGAACAAGGTCACCCAAATTCTAAGATGTGATATGTTAAAAATCTTGTCATACTGATGTCATTAGATGTTTCATAAATTTGTCAGTCTAATTTCTTGCCACAACATACTTACAAAACATAATTTGTTACATATACAGTACCTTTATAGGCGTAAGTGTACTAAAACACTAGAATATTGCAACATGCTAACACGCACGTGCTTTGAATAATTTTGATATTTGAATCACCGCAATCAAGATCTTACTTTATTATGACAATGTTGTTTACAAAATATAAATATTTTCTTTTCAAATTACTGAACAAAACAACTTATCAAACATCAAGCAGAGTGATAAACCTTTTTATAATTAATGTATTCCATATATATAAATCAAGACAGGATGTAAACAAACACGTCTTGTTGGATTACACCACCCCTGTTACAGCACCATCATCTCATGCAAAGTATAAAACATCCCATCTAATTTTAAAGTTATTATTAAAGTTGTGTAATTATCACTGACCTCTTCTTTGATGTAAGCATCCTGTTGAATTTTTGCTTTTTCATTTCCTTCGTTCTCCACGTCAGTCGCCATTGATTTCTTTAAGGTTGCACTAATGACCCGTTAATATAGTCACATTAACAAAAGTCTTTCTGACATCATCGCTTATTTCAAACACTTTCATACACTGATATATTTTGAACAATTATGTTTTTATGTTTGTCTCCATTTACCAAAATCAAATCATATTTAAAAATCCTATTGTAAAACGTAATAATTTTTTTAAAGTTGTAATTAAAAGTAATCAGCGGCATGAATAACATTAAAATGTTATCTGTCTCTGAAGTCGGACAGGTATTAAACCGAGAATGGGAGAGGGCCGACCACCGACCAGTATTTTCCCACATATAGCCAATAAATAATCTAAATATTATGATTTTTTCCTAAACATAAAATTTCTAAAGCGATATATATGTTGTTTCATGTACAGGCCCGTAGGAAGCAATTTCAGTTTGGGGGGGGGGGGGGGGCACAGCCATACATTTTCAGTTGAGGGGGCACTATCTACTACCAAAAATTTCTTGACAAGCAAAAAAAAGGTCATTAGACGTTTTTATTGAGGGAGCACAGGCATATATAGTATCTATGTTTTCTATAGTAATCTATATATCGGCAAAATTATTGGGGGGGGGGGGGGCACGCCCCCCGTGCCCCCCCCCCCCGGTTCCTACGGCCATGCATGTTTCTGAAACATCATATATTTGTGGACTTCCTAGCTGTCCTCTTCACTCCTATGTCAATACTAAATCTGCCTGGTTACCAATATAACACCATCATTTTTTTTGATTTAGTAATAATAAAATCAAAAGAAGAGAGAGGGGGACGCCCTCATCAGAACTGCGAGTATACAGATATATATATATATATATATAGAGAGAGAGAGAGAGAGAGAGAGAGAGAGAGAGAGAGGATATCAAATGTTTTGTAGATTAAAGGTGCTTGGACACAGATTTGAAGTTAATATTTTCTCAGATTTTCTGCATAATTTCATGACTTATATGTTGCTATAGCATTTCATACTAAAATATAATAAAAATCTTATTTCATCTCGAAGTTATTGAAACTTCAAATTTCTGGACGCGTTTGATTGACACATCCTTGCACTTTCACAATTTTTAATTTTATTCTTAATACTTAAGAAAAGTGGCAGTTTTGTTGTGTATAAATGAAAAGTATTAAAACTATAATCCAGAAAATTCAGAGTAGAAATGTTCGAAAGCAAAACCCACTCACAGTATTGTCAGTCCGTGCTCAGTGGTGTGTGCAGACTTTAACAATTGAACACACCCGGTGAATCGTAAACATTAACAATAACAGAGCTCGTGCCCTGTTTACAAAAACAGTTTACGTTTCACGGGTGTATTCAATTTGTTAAACTCTCTACACAACACTGAGCACGGGCTGACGATATTAGTGAGGGGGTTTGCTTTCGCACATTTCTACTCTGAATTTTCTGGATTATAGATGTAATGTTTTTCATTAATACAAAACAAAATCGCTTCTTTCTTTAAATATTAAGGATAACGATAAAATTTGTGAAAGTGCAAGGATGTGTTAATCAAACGCGTCCAGGAATTCGTAGTTCCAATTATTTCCAGATAAAATAAGTTTTTAATTATATTTTCGTGTGAAATGCTATTGCAATATATAAGTCGTGATATTATATAGAAATTTTGAGAAAATATTAACTTCAAATCTGTGTCTAAGCACCTTTAATATGGAATTTATTTCACGAGTGGGACTGGATTTTCTTTTTATATTTTCACGAGTGCAAAGCACGAGTGAAAATCCTGTCTCATGAATATTTATCTACAAATCATTGAATTTTCTTTTTATTACATTTTCTTTGATTTTTCCTTTGCCTCTGTCTTTTCGTAAAACTGTCATAGGCTGTGACGTTATAGTTGAGCGGTTGAGACGTTGAGAGATTGAAAACTTTGTAAACATGGATTTTTTACAACATATTTGGAGATTTTTTAGCAGTTTTAGTCTCTGTCAGGATGGTTCATTTACTCTCTCTCTATCTTATAACAGACCTGGGAGTTTTTTGTTTGTTTTTTTTTTAAAAAAAACACTCTTCGTGAAGGGAAGGAAAATCGAGAGTTTTGCCGCACTTCTGATATTCTCTCACACTATGAGAATACCATTTTGATATTCTTTCACACTGTGTCAGAATATCTCTTTTATTCAATAATTAAATTACAGTATTTCACTGCTGAAAATGTATTAAACTATTATATGTCGGGAGAGGAAAAAAACTGATTTTTTATTATTATATGTGTGGTCAGTTTTATGAGTTTGAAAAACAACTCTACATGAATTTAATCAGCTCTGCTAAATTAAAATAAATTCTTCTTAGTTTCATGTAGAACTTGACTCAAATGCACGAAGAGACATGACACCATGGTTCAATTCTGATTTTATCATTCCTCGTGTGAAGCAAATATAGAGTTATTCTTTCCTCTTATTCTTAGAGCCAGCTGCATATCCTTTGGCAAGATTGTTACTCTTTTCCCGTGCAGTGCACACAGATTTGTATCTGCAAAAACACTTACTACAAAATCCTCACACGCTTCCTAAAAATGAAAAGGAGAAAATGAGAATAGATGATTTTCAATGAAAAGTCCTGCGTTGGTTTTCCCGTCATTCTGTCATTCTGCGTATTTCTAAATACAACAAATATATATATATATATATATATATATATATATATATATATATATATATATATATATATATATATATATATATATATATATATATATATATATATATATATATACATGTATATATATATATATATATATATATATATATATATATATATATATATATATATATATATATATATATATATATATATATATATATATATATATATATATATATATATATATATATATCAGTGTATAGTGTATATTCTGTAAATTAAAAAAAAACTTATGTCAAGTCAAACCGATTGGTTAATTAATAGATATTTACTATGAGGTGTGAAGGGGGGGGGGGAGGGGGGTTATATTGAATGTGTATATATTATCAACAAAACTTCGTGCGTTCCAGTCACATTCATGATTGGCAACACTTCCGAATGTGTAAAAGCATGAATTTACATTAAATGTTCGTAAAGAATCCTATAAATACTAGTAATACTTGATAAATAAATGTTGCCATTGTTACTTATTAAAGTCAACCTTCAAAGCATCTGACGTAAGATAAGGTAAGAAGTTCATAAAAATTTACAGTTCAAAATTTTTATTTCATCTCCCAGTTTTTCAATGTTATGCTATGTTGTAATACAGAAGGATTTCGCTCCAGTGATTCAGGCATTTGTTTTTAAAATTATTCATCAACCTTATCAAGGCCGTTGGAAGGGTGGTGGGTTAGGTGTGATCGCACCCCCTTTTAAAATTTAACACTTTAAATTATTATTTTCAAAACCAAATTACATTGTAATTTATTGTTCATAGTAATGCTGCTTGATTTAGTTTATTTTATGGGAAAAAAACTTCAGTATAAAAATGCACCAGAATCCATCAAATTGGTAACCATTCATGTAAAAAAAAATCTGGATCATCAGAGGAGGAGGGGGAACCCTTCCTAGTAGACCTTGCCCGCATCCCCTGTTCAGAAACCTGGTGACGCCCCTGCTAATTAAAGGGCAAGTATTGATTAAATTCCTACAGCTTACTACAAAAAAGAAACTTTTTTTTATCTTGAAATGTTAATTTGATCAATTTTTACAAATACAATTAATATATGATAAAAATTGAATAGCAATATCAAATTCGTATCCTAGATCTATTTCATGTGTGTAATTCTGTGCAAAAAGAAGGTTTGGACTGATGTGGAGAATAACATTTACTCTGAACCAAACTAAAACAAAATCAATTTTGGATCTTTTCTGCTGGTAGTTTTGAAATCATATAATTGTATTATTAAGGTCATTTTACCCATAAATTGTTAAAGCGTACAAGCCCATCTGAGTATTCAGTAACCTTTTAGTTTGGTTCTGAAGTTAAATTGATTTGTCGGAGACGGCCTGCAGGCACGTAGTGTCAGGGGAAACCCCCCCCCCCCTGCTTTTCCCCAAACATGACCTGTTACTGTTGAAAATGTTTCATTGAAAGGCTGCCCCCCCATTCTCCCCTTACTTTTTGTTCTAATACAGTGAAAGAACGGTTTTAGTGGTAATGTATTAATCAGTAAAATTTGGTTCTAAAAAAAGTTCCCCACCCCACCAAATATGAAATAAGATTTTCGACCCCCCCCCCACCCTCGGCCTCCCCCACCTTCAAAACCGATACAAGGTGCCTCGTGTGGGTCTATACAGAGACACAGAACTTTGGATTATTCACAGGGGCATCTTATCCACTCTGTTCTCTAATACACATACAGATCTGTACCAAAAGTGAATTTTATTTTTATGCCCCCGTATCGAAGGTTCGGGGGTATATAGTTTTTGCCCGTGTCTCTATATATTTTATTGAAAACCGCATATAGTTCAATCGCTGGCAAATGTTTAATTTTTGTCCAATTTCAGTACTTACACCTAAATGTTTATCTTTTTCTAAAAGATCATTACATATTAAGGATTTAGAAAAAAAAAATAGTTCATCACTTACATCAGTTCTAAAATTCAAGATCAATGTTGACTATATACATGTAATTCATTGTGCGTATACATATGACATAAATTTTCATGTCGCACTCAAATTACAATATTTTTTAAATATCGGTGCTGATCAGATAAAAACTATTGTTTTTATCAAATATAACAATTTCTTGGATTATCGAGAAATTTGTGGTAAAATCTGTCAAGAAATGCTGTCATTCCAGTGATTTTACAAAATGTTGTTTTCAATGAAATAGGCCTAACGTTATATAGAAAAAAAATATCTTCACTTTTGGCACACATCTGTATAATAAATACACAAATTTATTATTTATTATATCTGTAATAGAAAACAGATCGAATGAGATGCCCCTGTGGATTATTCTATTAAATAACATAGGCCTAATGGTATGAGTGATGTATGTGTATAATTTACCTGTAGAGCATGCAATGCTGCTGTCTGAAATTTAATTCCATCAAAATTTGTATTTGTAATAGATTTAACAACCCTTTGGAACGCCATTTTTGGTATAAGCAGGTTTGTTGTTCTTTGATATCTTCTGATATCCAATAGTACACCCAAACTCGGTCTCCATCTGCGAGGTTGTTTGATTCCTCCTGTAATTTTGGATTGAATCCGGAGCTTCTGTAGGGCTTTGTAAGTTTTCAAAATATTAAAAACGGGATTTTCTTTAGGCACTAAATGAGTAGATTTTCTTGGTGCTTGCTTAAGTCGAGCCATACTGACATTTCTTCTGAAAAATCGTCTGCAAGCTGAAAACGAAAGTGGAACTCTTTTGTAAGTGAGGGTCATTATGGATAACTTCCGTGATAAACAAATAACTGTGCAATGTGCTGTGTGCAATGCCATGATTTAAAATCGTTATGAAATGGAAGAGGAAATACAGAAGTTGAAGATACAACTTGAGTTAAAAGAGCAAGAAAACAGAAGATTAAAAGAGATATTGGTACTAATATATACTACATAATACCATGATATTGACATGTTGATATTTATACATACCGAGAAAATTCGAGCAAGATTATGTAGTCTGTACACTATCTAAATTATAATAGATTTTGCAAAAATATCATGTGATTTTGTTTTGACTTTTAGTATACACTTTTATTATAGAAAGTAGGTTTTAGCGTATATAGTATGTTGACGGTGAAACCGTTGGGGCGAGCACATTTGTGTATCCACCTCTTCAAATTACACGAGACATTTTGAACTTCTAGACTGTGGACGTCATGTATAAGTTGCATAACAAATTTTCAGAGAGGCAAATATTTAATGAAGAGTGTCTAATCTACTATCTCTGTGCACCTTCCATTCAAGCAAGCAAGGTTTGCAAAAACCTGGGAAATGCTCATATTTCCCAGGACAGTGGGAAATACTGGTAATTCCAGGGAATAACTGGGAAATAATCTGTACTTTTTACTGGAACGGGAAATACCAGTATTTACCACTGGTAATTCCCACCCCTAGTATTTCCAACCTTGAAAGCAAGTAAGTTACTTTTTTTAATTGTTAAACTCTTCTATGGTTATCATGAGAACATGAGCCAAAAAGCAGTACCACAGTTGTAGAAAGACAGCCTAATCATTGCATTGTGGGTCCAGAGGTTACTGCAGAAAAAAATCACTTGGATCATTGTGCAAAGTATGAATTTTCTCTTCACCCATGCTTTGCTTAAAGAGCTCAAAGTGTGATGCTGGTTGTGCTTGCGATTATTCTTGAAACAAATAGAAAGATTTAGGGATAGTAATTTTTATGAAGTCTGTTTATATAAATATGATCAAAGAGAGTTGTTGTGAATGGATATGTTTTACAATGATAAACAGAACAAAGTGTAAATGACTTACAGAATTGTCTGTACAACTGTACAATGTAGTTAGAAAATGGCTTTGTTTTTTTGCTATGTGGTCTATCTTCTATACAATTTTATAAACTTTTACTACATAAGCGAAAATGATCCATTGAGCTTAAAGAAATGATTTGTCTTGAATAACACAATCCTATTCTATTTAAAGAAAATTCCAAATGCATACCCATGCACATATGATGTAGAACTAGAGTCAAGGACATCTTTAACAAATGCAGAAATTGGAAGATATAGTAGACAGTTAATCCTTCCAGAGATTGGTGTTCAAGGTTTGTTTGTTGAACTTATACATTTGAATTAGTCTTAAATGTATCAGTTTAGACAGTTTTTTTTTTTTTTAAAAATCAGCCTATATCTGATGCAAACTATGATCAATATAAGTATTTGATATGTTCTATATAATTTTATAACAGGACAATTGAAGTTAGCTAATACCTCTGTACTGGTGGTTGGTGCTGGGGGCTTGGGATGTCCAGCTGGAATTTACCTTGCAGCAGCTGGATTGGGTATGTATGAATATATTTCACTTGTATCTCTTGTTACATCTCATGGCAAATTATTGCATATCTGAAATCAGTATTCACAGTTTATTATAAAAGCATGATGCTAGAACACAATTTAACAAAATATATAAATTCAGACAGATAGATTTACATATTTTTTTTATATTTATGAAAATTCTTTAAGAGAATTATGGAAAAGCATCAAAGTAGTCCAGCATTTTGCACTTTAATGCTCTCACTTTTTCAGTCACCTGAGTCGAAGGCTCAAGTGAGGTTTCCTGATCAAAATTTGTCTGTTGTCTGTAGTTGTCATTGCTGTAGTTGGCATTGTCATAAACTTTTCACATTTTCATCTTCTTCTCCAGAACCACAGGGTCAATTTCCACCAAACTTGCTACAAAGCATCCTTTGGTGAAGGGTATTCACACTTTTCAATTGAAAGACCATGTCCTCTTTCAAGGGGAGATAATTAAGAATTAGTGAAAATTAAATGGCATCTTTCAAAAATATTCTTCTCAAAAACCACATTACCAGAAAAGTTGAAACTTATGTGAAAGCATCATTACATATTGTAGATTCAAATTTATTCAAATCATGACCCTCAGAGATAGGGTGGGGCCACAACAGGGGATCAAAGATATACACAGGAACATGTAGGAAATATCTTTAAAGTATTCTTCTCAAGAACAGCAAAGTCATGATTAGTCATGTTAATACAGAAGCATCTTCAGGTAGTGTAGATTCAAGTTTATTCAATTTTAACCCCCCCTCCCTCCCATAGGGTGGGGCCACATCAGGGATCAAAGTAATACATAGTAATAAATAGAATATATTTTTAAAATTCATCTTAAGATTACCAGCAAAGCCATGATAAGTCATATTAATAAAAAGCATTCTCAGTTAGTGTAGATTCAAGTTTGTTCAAATCATGACTCTGAGGGATAGGGAGGGACCACATTAGGCAATCAAAGTCTAACATGGGAATATACATGTATAGGTAAAAATCTTTAAACAGTATTGAGCTGATGTCTGCTTTTCTATAAGAAAAGTGCTCAGGTGAGCAATGTGGCCCATGGACCTCTTTTTTGTGTCAATCTATTGTTTAATAACCTTATTCTAACATTAAGTTTTAAAACAAAGGGAAAAACAAGATGTGCTTGTGAAACATTGATGCCCCCATAAAGCAGGAATGACCAAAAGTTCTGAAATGCAAATGAAACTCTAAAGTGGAGAGGTAAAAAATGTTGGTAGTTTGGTGTTCAAAGAAAGGACTTGTCACAAGAAATACTTATGTGAAATATGAAAGCCCTAGCACCAATCATTCAAAGGTTAAAGTTTCTCAAAAATAGGTCATACTCTAAAGTCAAGAGGTCATAAATGTTGGTATCCTAGGGAAGGTCTTTGTCACAAGGAATACACATGTGAAATATGAGTGCACTATCACCAATTCTTCAATAGTTATGGCCAAGGTTAAAGTTTTTCAAAATTAGGTCAAACTTGAAGGTCAAGAGGTGAAAAATATTGGTATCCATGGAAAGGTATTGTTATTAGGAATACATATGTGAAGTATGAATGCCATAGCTCCATATGTTACAAAGTTAATGGCAAGGTTAAAGTTTGGAAAAATTTTGCAAAAGTGGGTCAAACTCAAAGGTCAAAAGGTCAATTATGTTGGTACTGAAAGAAAGGTCTCATGTGAAAAATGAAAGCCCTGGCTCCAACCAACCAAAAGTATGGGCAAGGTTAAAGTTTTTGTGGACAAACAAACAGACAGACCAAAAACTATATGAAAATTAGAAATAGGGGCCTATATATTTATCACAAATACACTGTATACTCAACAATGTATCATCTGCATTTAAATATGTATATGTCATGCCCATTTGGGCCCTGATTTGGTTAAAAATTCTATTCAGTATATAGATCAACAATATAAATATAATCCAAGCCAAGCCTCATCATTTTTAGTTAAAGGGGGGATCACTATATAGCCACTCTCCCCCTCTCCCAGATGGGAAGACTCACTTTATAACCATTTATTTCCAGGGAGGGGGGTCTCACTCTGAGACTGAGCATGATGAGGCATGATACAGCACTAGTGCATCTTTGCATCTGCAGCGTTCTTTCATTTTCATTGAGAATTTCCAGCTAGAGCAATCAAAATGCATGTTTATAGTCTTATTGCAGTATTACTTATGATGAACAGAAAGAAGCACTTGAAAACCTGAATAATATCCAAATTTTTTTGTGAAACATGCAATTTAAGATTTCCGTTTAGTCGGTTCTGGACTTTGGTCACGTAATGGGGTGAAAATCATTCAACCATTAAATTACCAGCTACAAAAAGTTGAAGATTTCTTAACCTTTTAGGTACAAAATTATGCACTATATGTGAATTCTTTTCACTAAAATAGGAAGTTGCATTTCTTTTGCATTTCAGTGAATAAGTTAATGTAAAACAACAGATTGTCCACCTCCAGTGTAATAAAAGTATTGAAAATTGTATCTTTTTTTAAGGAAGGATAGGAATTGTAGACTATGATGAAGTAGAACTGTCAAATTTACACCGTCAGATTCTTCATACCGAGGGAAAAGTAGGTGTGGCTAAATCTTCATCAGCTGCTTCAGCATGTAGTCAGTAAGTTCATGTTTAATTGACATATTATCTTAAAAGAATTCAAAAATTTAAATCCCAGCACACATAAAGTATGTATATATCTACATGAACATCTATTATCTGTGATACAGATTCAAGTCATTTTCTAAGCAAATGCTAATTGGAAAACAACATGGAACATTGCTTGAGTTATTGCCCTTAGAATTGTGTTGAGAAGCTTTTTGTAGGATAAAGAATGTTTTATTTTTATTAGTTAGTAAGTATTGTGTGAGATTTGGTTACTGAAAAATAATAAATATTTACTTTTAGGTCTGTGCAATTTATTTTTTGTAGTGTATATATATATGTGTACTTACACATTGTATGTGTTCTGGGCATATTACATCTGTATTGAATTTCCTAACTGAAAATGAATTATTTAGCGTAATTTATTTTTAACAATTTAAGGGATAATTAATTTTCTATGGCAAATACGTGGTTGATTTATTAGCTACATTCATTTTTAGCACAGCCAAGACTATCTGCTAATAATGCCAAAATAAGATCATTACTAAAAATTCCCACTGTACAGTACTATTTCATCAAAGATGGGAAAAAAGCCCTGCTGTTTTTATTATGCCCCCGGATCAAAAGATCCCGGGGGTACATTGTTTTTGTCCTGTCTGTCTGTTTGTCTGTTTATCTGTTTGTCTGTTTGTCCGTTTGTCTAGCTGTCTGTTTGTCTGTCTGTCTGTTGTCAACTTTAACCTTGCCCATAACTTTTGATTGGTTGGAGCTATGACTTTCATATTTCACATGTGTATTCCTTGTGACAAGACCTTTCTTTGGGTACCATCATATTTGACCTTTTGACCTTGACCTTGGAGTTTGACCCACTTTTGCAAAATTTTATGAGACTTTAACCTTGGCCATAACTTCTGAACAGTTGATGCTTGGGGTTTCAAACTTCACATGTGTATTCTTTGTGACAAGGCCTTCCTTTGGATACCAACAACTTTGACCTTTTGACCTTGACCTTGGAGTTTGGCCTACTTTTGAAAAACTTTAGCCTTGGCCATAACTTTTGAACAGTTGGTGCTTAGGGTTTCAAACTTCACATGTGTATTCCTTGTGACAAGACCTTCCTCTGGATATCAACCACTTTGACCCTGTGACCTTGACCTAGGAGTTTGACCTACTTTTGAAAAACTTTAACCTTGGCCATAACTTTTGAATGGTTGGAGCTAGGGCTTTCATACTTCAAATATGTAATCCTTGTGACAAGACCTTCCTTTGGATACCAACCACATTGACCCTTTGACCTTGACCTAGGAGTTTGACCTACTTTTGAAAAACTTTAACCTTGGCCATAACTTTTGAATGGTTGGTGCTAGGGCTTTCATACTTCACATATGTAATCCTTGTGACAAGATCTTCCTTTGGATACCAACCACTTTGACCTTGACATTGACGTTTGACTTTTATTTAAAAAACTTTAACCTTCGCCATAACTTTTGAACAGTTGTATCTAGGTCTTTCAAATTTCACAGGTATATTCCTCGAGACAAGACCTTTCTTTGGGTATCAACATTTTTTATCTTTTGGCCTGGATTTTGACTTGCATTTGAAGAAACTTTAACTTCGCCATAAGCTGCCATATGGGGGCATCAGTGTTTCACAAACACATCTTGTTAAACTACATATTCATACCATTTATCAAACATCTTTTTGAAGCCTTATAAACCTTCAAAGGCTCTTAAAAAAAGATTGTTTTATTAGTTTGAATGTATGAAACTTGAGCCTATTCAATTAGAAGTGATGGAGGGGGGGGGGGGGGGGCTCAACTCATTGAGAATCAGCCTTTGCTCTTAAAGGTGGAAACTTTATGACAATTTTCTTACAGAAGATGGAGTTAGAAATGAAATTCAAGCAAATTCAGTAAAGCTCATGGAGCCAACTTTGAGACAGATCAATGTTGAAGCAGAAAATTAAATAAAGGAAACCCTGTGGTTTATCACTTAATATAGAGCTTTGTCATTATGCAGAAAGTTGTGCCTTTGGACACTGACAGTTAGTAGCAGTCCTGCCCAGTGTGAACTTAACAATGCACTTAAGTTACCATGTAAAGCTTGTTAGATTACATGTTAATAACCATGCAATGGTGATCAGTGATGTGTAATTTTTTACTTTTAGGCTGAATTCCCTTGTGCAATGTGTACCCTACAGAGTACAGCTTGACAGCTCCAATGCTCTACAGATCATTAAGAAGTATCCTTTATAGGTGACAGACATTGCCTAAAGGGTAGAGGCACTGGTGAAAACTTCTTAGTTCAATATGTCAGACAATCACACATTTATCATCAAGGTGTGAATGTACAAGCTAAGTGGATGTGCCACTCATTTTACATACCAAATAGACACAACTTCTGTCAGATATGCATTTGTGTGAAATGATTATAGATTATCATAAAGTAATGGAATACTAGAAATTTATTTCTGTTTGAATCTTACTTTCTTTTAATTTCTAGTGCTACAAAAAATGGTTATTACGAATCAGCTGTTCACCTGTCTTGGGGACGTTGTCTGCAACTGTACCCCCAGCATTTGAACTTTGGAGTTGGGGGGGGGGGGTCACCTTGTTCATCTATCTGGCTGTCCATAGACATAGAAATTACATGTATCTCAAAAACTTTTCATAATTTTGTTTACAAACTTATTGTACAATGTCAGGATTGTCCCTAAGACCCAGTGGCCAGGGAATTTCCCCACCTACAATGACGTAAACCCCTGGTTAATTTGGTATTCTCCCTCAACCCTCCGTTAGGAGAGGCAAACCCCCTTTTTAAATGTTCCCTGTTTTCTCAATTCTTAGGAACAACCCTGAATGTACCTGTGCACCAGTTACATTTCATCATTATTGAGTATAGTATGCAGTATAAAAGTTGTTAGGTTAGAAGATTTTTTTAAAGCTATTTTTAAAGTGCCCTTTTGTCGGTTTCCCTGCAAGAATACTGTAGACAGGGTTATTTTTGCCCTATGTAATTTTTGCCATTTTGCACTTGTCAACAACTTTGCCCCATTTTTAATTCAGTTCTGATTAAGAAATTATACTGTGTCCTTTGAATTCATCCCATTTTAAATTTTCCTATCTGTGATTAGGGCGAAAGGGGTGAAAATGAATTGGGGGCAAAAATTTCCCTTATACAGTATTACCCCCATTGGGACAACTGTAGTACGGTGTCTACTTCCTCATAAAAAAGAAGGTGCCTACTTCCTGATAGAGAAGAAGGTGCCCACTTCCTTATAGAGAAGAAGATACTTACTTCTTATAGAGAAGAAGGTGCCTACTTCCTTACAGAGAAGAAATTGCCTTCTTCCTTGTAGAGAATAAGAAGCAGTATGTGTTGTTATGAAAATCTCCCAGTAAAATCATATTCTGAATACAGTTTATAATGATATATCAAATTACAATTCTGCAATTCTTAATATTAGGATCTGTGCTTCAAAAAAGTATACATGTATAATGTTACTGTAAATGTGGCAATTATGCAGGGTGGATTATTTCACACAAATTCAAATTAATTTAAGGTATTAGAGGTGTAATACGCCATTTCCGGTAAAAATGACGGCATTTACCGAGGTGTCTGACATCGGCAGTTTTCGGAACACTGTACTTCGTAAACAAAAATGGCATGTCGTCATGACGGCCTAGGACGCTAACATAAAACATACATCAAAGAAAAGGAATATAACTTAGCGGAGGAGAGAATAAATATGATATTACGTAGAAAACACGTTAATATATTTTGTTAGACAAAATATTCAGTCAAAACGATGATACATTCAAATTCACACTTCATGGGTTTTTCCAACTTCTAAAAATAGCACCATTTTCGAAGAACGAACGAAATATAACTTTCTTCAAAACTTTACATTCGCATCGCGATTTCTTGTGATTCTCTCAATATCAGCAAACCGTTTGAGGGGAAAAAATGTACGTAATTGGTAGCATTGCGTGCATTGTAGAATCTGCAATTTATAAGTGACGTTCAATATCCATACGTAAAATATCTGAGATGTTCAAAATATATCAGTAAAAAAATAGAATGTAAATATGTTTACAACATTAAAGAAAAATAATTAATATTAGATATGGGAATAAATGATTTATTCTGGGTTGGGTTAGGGTGATTTTTGTTATTTTATTTACATTAATTAATTTATTTATTTTTACATAAGTTTACTGTTTAGAAGGAGGGGGGGGGTGAATATATTCTTTATTGATATTTTTTATATTCATGTGGGGAACAAATTAGTTTTTTTTTTACCTTTTGATTAGTGTTTCTGTCAGTATATATTTTAGTCTACGTTGTATAGTAATGTTTTGATCTGTAAAGAACTTCATGCACATGGAAGCTGCAAAAATGTAGGTCATTTTGCAAATCTTTGTCTGGGTCAAGGTCACTGTGACGAGGTCAATCTTCTGAACAAATGAATATGACTAAAGTGAAGTGTATTCAATATGACAATAACCTGTTGTTTATATATGCTCATCATTTCATTAATTATCATATCCCATGACATTTACAAAAAACAATGGCTTAAATTTTTAGGGGTACATCGCTTTGATACAGAATATAGATAAATATTGTGGATGGAATAAATTTTTTTTGCTGTTATATTATCACAAACACACCTTACACAAAAATGATATTGTTCTTTTATTGATCTTTCCTACCATATTTTTCTTTGACAGAATATTACAAACGGTTTTATGAAAAAAATTGTCACTCAAAGTAGACAAGTTCTCTCGATTACAAGTATTCATATATCATACCTGATGAATTTGAACTAAAAAGAATGCATATATGCAATCTTTACTGCTTAGTGTTGCAGCTGAATACATGAAACATTCAACTGTTTGCGACTAACTAGAGCAGAGGTAAAAATTACATCTGTACCTTTTGTCTATTAAAGGTGCACCAGTGGTTAGAGGGTACCGGCATGAAAATAAAAATAGAAAAATTATGTTTGGACAGAATTGCATGAAACTTTGGGAAATACTGCCTGAAGTGTTGTCCATTATAACTAAACTGAATTTAGTCATATTCAAGGTCATGACCATTACACCCCTAATACCTTAAAAGAAATCTTGCATAATATATTCAGTCCTTTGACATATATATACCTGTATATTGTATTCAGCATTAACAGTGCATTATTCTGATACCAAGATATTATCTTCTACATATATATGGCTTTTCTTACTGAATCAAGTTATTTAAAATAAATCTGAATGTATACAGTAAACTTGAACATCACTAATTCACAAAATATGAATTACTTTATATTACATGTGTCTAAAGACAAAAATTATCAAATGAGTGTTAATAGTATTACATTCTTAACACTGTGTATCTATGACATTGTGTTGGATGCAAGTGATAATGTTGCCACTCGATATCTACTAAACGATGCCTGCATCCTGTCTAAGAAACCACTGGTATCAGGAAGTGCCCTCCGATTTGAAGGACAGGTAAATGATGGGTGTTGGTGCCAAAGGACTATATTCGGTAATGACCAGTATTTGCCCCCAAAATCAAACTTGGATGGAGAAATATATAATTATGTTCTAAAGCAGCGGGATATATGCAGACTTCAAAGCACTAAATATTTTCATATGCCATGACGCCATATGCTAGATATGACGTCAGGAAAATGACGTAAATTCAAAATTTCCATGATTTATACAAAAAAAGGTATATATTACGTCGATATTTTGAGTAAAAGTCACCGCGCGCAGGTCTGCTCCAACTCAACATTTTGATATAATGTGTAGAATGATAATATCAATGAAATATATAAATATTGTTCTGGAGCAGGCCTGCGCTCTATAAATTTTACAGAAAAAATTGAACAATTTTTGTCCATTTTTTCCTCTTTCTGAAAAAATAACACAAAATCCGAATAATTTGTGACGTCATATAAACAAAAGTTGCCAGTAACCTACTTTGAAACTATAATATTTTTTGTTAATTTAGATTTCTCATACAATATATACAATTCAGCACATTTCAAGAAATTTTTCAAAATACGTCTTTTGTTGGGGCAAAAATATGCATATACCGCATATAGTTTTTTTTAAGAATTCAATTTTGACCATTTTTGAGATTTTTTACTGCTGAACTATTTTTTTGTACTCTGATTTATTTGCATGTACATATCACCAAAAACTGTTAAAGTTCTCTATATTTTTCTTGAAATTTAAATCAGCTAGGACTGACAGATAAAAGGATTCTGAATTTCCCTCTAGTATTTTAACTATGGAAATTACCAAGTAAATGAAGTTTTAATTGGGGGGTACCAAATAAACACTCAGATATAATTGCAGTTTGTATTGTAATGAATATTGGTACATTATTATTATATATGTCAAGTCATTTTGCCCTCAGTAGATCAATCTGTATGAGAGCATTCATATCTGTTTAATCTGGGGGTTATTGTTAATGCTGTATATATAATGATTGTGTCTTATCTAGTGGTATATTGGTTATGCTATGTGAATTTTATTGCTACATATTTATGTTTTCTGAAATGCATTTTAGTTGTACAGATCTGGAATAAAGAGGTGTGTCACACTACTGTGAGTGATAAAAATAGAAACCGTAAATGATATTTTTAGTCTTTTATTGAAGCTATATCAATGAGACAAAAATAGATACAGTGTATCACTTAAAGAAATACACAAGATGCATGTTAAAAATCATGCAGTTCATTCATTTTTACTCCCAAAGTACATGTAAATACAGAACTTCATATTCTGTAGCAATGAAAAAATGTACACATAAAATTGGAAAGGATGCTTTCCAGATCAGTGGAATAGCATACAGTTCTCTTCTTAATAAAGTATACTTTATACAGTTTTTGACTGGGTTTGAGGGCAAAATGCTGCGATGCATTTTGTCAGACCTGAGAAACAAACTGTTTGCCTGAGGCCATTAGGCTGAAGACGGGAGTTTGGTTCAAGGGTTCAGCATTTAGCCCAAGAACCAAGTCATTTAGCCATCTTTAAAGAATTGTCCCTATGCCCTTTCCCAACCAAATGACTAAAAATTCAGCCCAAGAACCAAGTCATTAGGCCATCTTTAAAGACTTGTCCCTTTGCCTTTTCCCAACTGAATGGCTAAAATTTTAGCCCAAGAACCAAGTCATTAGGCCATCTTTAAAGAAGTGTCCCTATGCCCTTTCCCAACCAAATGACTAAAAATGGCCCAACTCAAAAATTTTTAGGAAACAATTATTTTTTTTTTATTCATCTGGAATTTTCTCATCCACTCAACAACTATTTGAATTTTATTAAACCTTCAATTTCAATAAATTTGGAAAATTCAGCACTGCAGATGTTAAAAATATCTGGGTAAAAATTTGACTGCCTACCTACCGCCTAATTTTTTCATCCTTAGTTGGGAGAGGGCAATTAAACTTTTTTTTTAAGATAGCCTGAAATGTTTTGTTATGCCTTTAAAAATTGTTTCCAGTGTTGGATGATTCGGCCTGCCTAACCGAGGATCATTGAATGCAAATTAATTAAGTGTGACATTAAAAAGTCATAGCTGTTCAACATCTCACCAATTATTCCAACATCTCACCAATATTGTATTTTTTTTTTTTACCACTTAGTAAAAACACTGGAAATGAAATTTTTTTAAGTATAGATTTATATAAGAAACAATTTTTAAAGGTTTAACAATATAAACTGGTATTGCCCAATGAAATATTAATCTGAATCAAATAAGTATAGAAAATAATACTGATGTCTTTACTATTACTGATACAAACTGTGATTTTCATTCAGATAAAATGGTATGCTAGACATTCTACAATTCATAGGTATCTGCCATGTTGTATTTACTCCTTTGACAGTTGACAGTTTATGGTTATAAAGGTGGACCCTGCTACAGATGTTTGTACCCCAAACCCCCACCCCCTGAAACTGTCACAAACTGCTCTGATGGTGGAGTTCTTGGAGTTGGTAAGTTTTCAGAATTTTGGATACCATTTAGCAGGTTTTATGAGAGATTAATTTTTTTAAAGAACAAACATTTTTTTCTTATTGGTAAGTATTGGTGGCTATCTTCCTGAACCTCATGACAAAAAAAACAAGAAAATAAAAACAAAAATACCAAAAAGGGAGAGAAAAAAGACCCCAGAGAAAAAAAATATATTACATGCCTATAATTTATTGTTGACCATTGCATTTGATCTATTTTATGATGATGGTTTGACACTCAGTAAGTTTTTTTGTACATGAGAATGTGCATAATAGGGTTGAAGTAGATTATCTTATTCTTCAGTATACAGGAAATGCATGTCAACTACTGAACTCTCTTCTCCATGACTAAGTATGCATGTATTGAACCATAATTATGCATACAGTAAGTTCTTATTTTTGAATAAGTAAATAATTGTTACATCAAATTAAAAGTTATTTTGCGTGGTAAAAATGTCACATTAAAAGTTTAAAACTTACTGTATCTATTAAGTTCAAATGGATAAATTTTGAGTAAATGATTTTTACATCAAACTTAAGTTATTTTGCATAGTAAAAATGTCACATTAAAAGTTTAAAACTTACTGTATTTATTAAGTTCAAATCAAATGTGATGAATGTTGATTGAAATTTAATCAAATACTAGTGTTTATAACACTATATAATTTAATTCTGGTTATAACGCAGTATTTGATTGGGTAAAAAAAATTACTTTATACCGTTTAAGTTGGGTTGCCTACATCACAATTACTTGTCAAAAACGATGGATCTGCCTGATGTTACATTTAAATTTTGAACAATTTGAATTATAATAGTAAAAGTTCAGAAATTATTAAATACTACATGTATTGTGTAAAACATGTGCAAAACATAGCCTTTTCACTCAAACATCTAAAGACCTTACACTCAAATTCAATGAACAAATTATATAAAAGATTAATCAGTTTGTATCTGAATACTGGGTACTGTTAATTTCAAGAAGGATAATTGTATATTGAATAAATAGTACCTATGTGATTGCAAATGCACTAAAACATCTATTAGATAATATAAAAAAATTGAAATAAACTTTAATGTTTCAAGTAACTTGTATACTTCTTTCAATTAATATTTTTTAGTACCTGGAATAATTGGAAGCATGCAAGCACTGGAGGCCATTAAAATAGCTTGTGAAATGGGATGTATCCTTTGAGCAGTTGAATAAATGAATGATTGAGATGTATATTTGAAGACAGTATTGGCTTTGTTATGATAGGGAATTCAAATCATCTGTCTCAGAGCTGCAAACTGAACCACATTAATCCTTACAATGTTTGGAGTTCAATATAAAATGATTCAGCTGTATCTTAGTATAGAATAATATTCCAGAGGACATGCTTCAGACTGTATATTGTATAGTCTTGAATGTTTAAAATTATGCCTGCTAGTACAACTGTAGTATTTATGAGTATGGAATTAATTAAGATCCCTTGTAAAACAGAGTTCTTAATCTGAGGGGGCATTTCTTTTCAAGCATTGTATAAACTATAGTGTACTGGTTTCCATGCACAATAAATCTTAAGAAGTATAGATTGTAAACAGTAAAAGTGCATTATCTGAAACATGCTATCATCTGACTGAAATATTGTACAACATGACATCAGACAACTTAGTTTATGTAATATATGCTGTGACATTTATTGCCCAATTGACCTGCAGAATATGTCAAAATAAAGGTGTGAAAGAACAGGATCTATCTATCATGATAAATTTGGTCTTGTTTAGTTCTGTATTTTATTTCCTCATTTCTGTTACAATAGTTCTACTTATATTTTAACTGTGAGATTAGCATGTAATCCAAAGTATAACTTTCATTTTTATAAACTGTTGAATTTTTTTGTGTGTAGATACTTTTTGAGAAAAAAAAATCTTCATTAAAGAATAAAATAACATTGAGAGTAAGTTTTAATCCAATGTCAAAATCAGTTTTCAGTGAAAAGAATTTTTTCTTAACACTACAAAAATCTTAAAACACAATTTTGCTTTTGATACCACAACAGTACATTAAGCAAAATTTTCTTGATTTTTAGCTGACCTAAACCAAAAGGTTCAAGTGAGCTTTCTGATCACCTGTTTCCATCATCTTCTGTAAGCCTATTGGTTCTAGAGAGGAAGTTTAAATTTCAACCAAACTTGCATCAAAGCATTGTCTGGTGAAGCTGATTCAAGTCTGTGTATGTGTGCATTTTTTAAAATAAATTAAGGGTCATTCCCACTTTGTGGCAAGGGTAGAATATCAAAAAGAGGCAAAAATAAGGTTGGGACATTCAAAGAACCATGATGAAACTTGTTTGAAAACTATTTGAAAAATGTAGACTCAATTTTTTTTTTTAAGGTTAAGGTGCAATAGGGTATCAAAGTTTAACTTAGGAATATGTAGAAAAAAAATATTTACCGGGTAAAGAATAGCAAGGCTGTGGTTAGTCATTTACATATGCAAGCATCCTCAGGTAGTGCAGATTCAAGTTTGATGAAATCATACCCCCTTCTGGGTTGAGTGGGTTCATAATGGGGTATCAATGTATTAAATTGGATATACAGAAGAAAAATCTTCTCAAGAAGTGCAAGGCCATGATTAGTCACATTGCAAGCATACTCAGGTAGTGTGGATTCAAGTTTGTTCAAATTTTGGCCCCACTGGGTTAGGGGGGGCACAAAATGGGATCAAAAGTTTTTTTGTTCATGAATTGATAGAAAAAAAAATCTATAAAAATCTTACTGTAAAGAACAGCAGGGGCCACAATTATTCACACTAATAATCAAACATTAGTGAAATACATTGTATATATGCAAGCATCCTCATGTAGTGTAGATTCAATTTTGTTTATATCTTGGCCATGATAGGATTTGGCCACAACAAGCATTTTCAGTTTTACATAGGAACACATGTATATGGGGAAAATAATTAAAAATCTTCTCAAGAACAGGTAGACCATGATTTATTGTATTGATATTCAATCATCATTAGGTTTGTGCAGATTCATGTTTGTTTTAATCATTGCCCCAGAGGTAGGGGGAGCCACAATAGTGATAAAAGTTTTACATGGGGATACATTGAAAAGAATCTTATAACATCTTTTTCTCTTAAAACAGCAGGGCCGCAACCAGTTGTATTAAATTACTATGCAAGCATCAACAGGAAGTGCAAATTCAAATTTGTTCATGCCCTATTGGGGTAAAACGGAGTTGCAATAGGGGATCAGAGTTTTACATTGGAATTTATATGGGGAAATTCTTTAAAAACATTCTTAAGAAGAGTAGTCCCTGATTAGTCCCATTATTAAGTAAGTGTCCTCAGATAGTCCAGTTTTAAATTTGTTCAAATCATGCCCTCTTGAGATAGGGTGAGTCACAGTTGGAGATCAATATATGCACATACATGTATATAGAAAAATATCTTTATCAAAAATCTTTTTGAGAGCATCAATGCCATGATTGGTCATATTAATATGCAAGCATCCTCAGATAGTGTAGAATCAAGTTTGTTAGTCTTTGGGAATAGGGTTGAACAACAATTGGGGATCAAACTTAATGTATTATTAGGGCCACACTTAATCATATTGATGTGCAAACATTTGATGTGTTCATTCAAGTTTGGTTAAGTCATGACCCAAATGGGCTAGGGTGTGGATTGTCAACATTTTTCATGGGAATAAATGGGGAAAAAATCTTGAAAATCTTATTCTGAAGAACAGCAGGGCCAAGAGGACTATGTGAACTTAACCACTGGGAAGATGTGGTTGTTTACGTGTGTCTGTAAGCAGTTTTTAAAAGCACTACTTCTCCTACAGTTTTGGTCAGATTTCATTAAAACGGTACACATGTATTTTGCACCTTGATACATTATTCTCCTTTGTTTTTGATTTTGATTAATGGTGTTGCCATGGTTATTAAGAATAGAAATTTCTCTGAAATTCTTTCACAACTACTTACTCCTACAGTTTGGTTTGTTGTCAATAAATTGATGCTATGTTAGAAAACATCAAGATACATAATTCTGTAAATGTAAAAGATGAGTGCTACAAGTGTAGATGCAACTTTTTTCTTCCATTATTATAAGTACAAACAGTAGAGCTGCAGTCTCATCAGAGACAACTGATTAATGTTATGAATTTACTACATGTACTAGTATTCTAGAATGGCATTTTTTCCAATTTTTTTATTGGTACCTAAAAATAGGCCAATAATCACAACTGGTAATTTATTCTGTGATGACCCTTATACAAAGAAGAGTTGCATACTGATGCCACTTTCCAGAAGGAACCTAGTGACAATATTTTTTTTTGATAATGCATTGTCATCTTTTTTTTTGGTGTATGTGTCTAATACTTTTTGAAGTGCTCTGTCTTCTCAAGACTTGGCACACTATAAGTGTTAGTCATCATTGCTCACATTCCTTTTTTTTCTCGTAAACAAAAGAAAAAACTTGTTTTCTTAACAATTTTTAGCCTCATTTTGCCAAAAAATGCTTTTGTTTGATGGCCAGGAAGGAACATTTAGGACTATCAAACTGCGATCGAAACAGCCTTCATGTATTGTATGTGGAGACCATCCAGAAATTACAGAATTGATTGATTATCAGCAGTTCTGTGGTGCTCGGGCAGATGATAAGGTAGTTGTCATTTTATGGTTTGGTAAGGGGTGACTGTCTTATCTACAGGCTGTAAGTATTAACCACAGGTTGGAATTATGTCTACCTATTCCTTGACTGTTTTAATGGGTCTGTATAAATCAAAGGGAAGGCATACATAATTATGAAAATGGGCACTGATTACTTAATACCTGAAATACCATATGAAAATGAAAAAAAAAATGCCCAGAAATTTCTTATTTATTCTTAAGTTTACATACAGAATGCCAAGTTGATGAGTTAGCATGACTGTATGATGGAATATTTTCTTGAGTTCATTGTAAATCAGCAATCTTTAAAGACACTATTCTAATGCTTGAATTTTCTGATTTTGGCTGTTTTCACTTGAGTAACTGTAAACTAGGAAGAAAAAATACTATTTTTACTTTTTTTTTTATTTTACTCTTTAAATTTATTTGTTGAACAAAATTGGAAAATTTTGTAGTTTTAATATGGGTAAGGTTGTTATCAGGTATTTTCCAGAATCTTTCAAAAATTTAATATCCAGATATCCAGAGATTCAAGGTATGGAGGGTATAATATATGTAGAGAATAGGTGTTTAGGCCTTCCACATATCCTCTAGGTATTTGAGATATAGATGTTCAGGATACTGAAGTTCAGCTGTAGTTGTTTGTTATTTACCTGAATCTGTTGATTGAGAAGTAATTGCATTCTATCAATCCATTTTGTAGAATTCACAGTAATTAATTCACTCAGTCACTACTTTAACTATTCCGGCTTAGAGATCTTTATAAGTATTGCAAGCAATTTTCAATAAAACATGTCAAAAGTTTTAGTGACACTGTGACATTCATTTTTTTTTTTTATCAATTTTGCAGGAAAAGTCTTTGCATCTTCTAGAAACGGAGAATAGAATCACTGTACAGGTGTGTATTAAGTTTTGTTCAAATCCATTTTAAAAGGGGTGTTTTACCATTTGAATATCATTAGACGTAGTAAGAAATACAGGCAAACTTCATTATTTCGAACTTAATGGGACTGAGAAAAAGCTGAGAAATTCGAGAGTTCAAGGTATTGAGGGTGAAATACTTCGAGAAAAAGAGCCTGGGACTTCCAAATCACTTCGACATATCCATGGTATTCAAGATATCCGTGTTTGAGATATCGAGGTTCAGCTGTATAAGTAAAAGTGTCAGAACACCTACATTAACATTAGAATTTATACCTTTTTTGTTTGGCATAATAATACTGATTTGCCTTTCTTCAAGGACATCATTTATTTATTTCAGGACTTCAGATTTGTATATAGTAACATTTTATGCTGCTTAATACAAATATGTCCTCTTATTATGGCAAATCCATTAATTACTGATAAAAAGAATGACCACCTTAACCTTTTGGCTAGATGGATCTGTATTCACTACAAAATGATGATAATGTGTGGTCTTAATTATGTTTTATTGATTTTGCTCATTTTTTCCACTAAGATTGGCATTAAGAAAGCAGGGGTTCGTACAGAAGGTAAAATAGTGGAAAGAAATGTTTATTCCTGTGATAATGAATGTCTAGTCCCTATACTGTGTCAAAGGTCACACATATTTTGATTATGAAAATGTACTTGTCAATTGTTCTTGTACAGTAATTTGTCAAAATTGTTAGTTGTTTTTATGATTTTTCGTACCCAGAGGGTATACATAATTCTGTAGATTACTACAAGCTACATATGTACAAATGTTCCAAATCAATTACCCTAATATTGTTTGATAATACCTTGTCTGGTCAAATTTGATTGGTCAATTTCATTTTTTGTTAAAATAAATTATTTTAGGAGTACAAGCAGATTCTAGACTCTGGACAGAAGCATGTGTTGATTGATGTCAGGATGCCGGTGGAAATGGAGATATGCCAGCTTCCCACTGCGGCTTATAGTATCCTAACTGCATGGACTCTTAAGACTTGTGTATATATAATACATGTATAGATAAAAATTTTCCACTTGGGTCCCCATCATTCAAGGTTATTAATTTAACTATGTTCCTCACTCCTGCAAGCACCGAGGACACTCGAATCTAGAAAGGAGGAAGATATTAGGTGTGCATTTTTTTTAGTAATCATAACATACCTAAATACAAGTAATGAAGTATTGCTTTGGACCATATGTATATGCATACATATAGGCTTTTTTTTACATAGTAGGGGCCCAAAATGCAGTCAAAGGATTAAAATATATTCTTTACAGATTAAGACTGACTGTGAAAGGTGCAGACGAGGACCTTGGGACTTAAAAATATTCCTCATATCTCTATCTATCATAGATGTCAGTTTTTGGTATCTCTACTTTCCTTGACCCGAATTTCAGATTTACCAGTAAATTGTGTGGAGAGAGGAGACAACTTAGCTAGCCTGAAAGATCACATCCAATCTAGATCAGCTGGTGAACAGTCTTTTCCTGTTTATGTTGTCTGCAGAAGAGGAAATGATTCACAAATTGCTGTCCAAAAACTCAAGAACCATTTTAAATCAGAATCCATTCAGTTTAAGGACATTGCTGGCGGGCTTTACGCATGGGCAAAACATATAGACATCAATTTTCCTGTTTATTAATTCAAATGAAAATAATATAACAAAATGACAATATTTTTTTTTTTCTTTTTCATTACTCTTTTTAAAACATAGGCTGTGGTAATAAGGTGTACACTTGGAACTGTTCTGTGGATCACTGATAGTCTTAATGCATAAAATGATTTAAATTGAAATTCACTGTGGGTAAGCAGACCACACACTGTCCTATGGTGTTAAGTCCAGTGCCATCCAGGTGAATGATTCTGTGGTCATCAGGCATCAAAGAGAGAAAAACCTACAAATACAGAAGAAATAAAGAAATGCAACATCAAATCACAATTTCAAAATGAATCAATTTGACACTTACTATTATGCACCTTGCGTTACGTTTAATTACGAAAATAAATGTGAATTAGTACATGTACAGCTAGAGGGGTTGCACAAGTTTCGTTAAACATTAAAATACAGACAGTACATTCTACCATAATTTTACCAAAAAAAACTTTCACACTAAAAAGAAATAGACAAATTGAAAGCAGGACAAAATTGTGACAAATAAAAAAGACGAAGAATGTTAGTAGTCACCATAGGGAACCATGAATGGATTATAGTACCCGCCACTTCCGCCCCACGAACCCCGGAAAGAGTTGCGGTACAGAAGCTGCTTTCTCTGGTTTGCTTGTTGCTGTTCTAGTACATCACCGGCATCACCTGCCTCTGACCCACCGATTCCACCCCCAAAACCTCTCAGGAACCAGTTACTCAGTCCACCATTAAATCTCCCGAATCCTGAATTACCTGTTAATGATAGAGGGTGGTTTTAGTATCAGAGAGTGTGAATTTTTATAAAAGGCTAGTTTTAGGTTATATTTTGAAATTTTCAGTTGTAATACTTTGTGAATGTGTCATAGAAAAATATTTTGTTTGAAGAAAATATTTTGTTTAGAAAAAAAAGTCAAAGAACCCTTGGGGTACGGAAAAAGGGGGGTGGGGGTCCCGTCCCCAAGCACCTGTGCTTTCCTTTTGCATTTATCAGTTTATACAGTAGAAATTATAAAGTAAACATGCAGTGTGTTGGGCATATCATGCCTATTCATGGACGAGTTTGCCAAATGCCCTTTTATTTCTAGATTTTCTATATTGAAGTATTTTTAGAAATAATTTTTTTTAATTTTGATTTACTTACATACTTACTTCTGAACATAAGAAAGGCTGTGGAGAAATTGACGAGCGTCAACAGTACAACTAGGAAAGCTAGCTTTGTCATCTTCATAGTATATATTCGTGCTTCCTAGGTTTTACTGCAAAGAAGCCAGAAGAAAAGATTTAATTTTTTTCTGGTGCAAAATTACTTTTCAGGTTATAACTAATCTATGACACTTATAAATGAAATTTGTCCCATGAACAATCATACATTAATATGATGTACATCTTATCATCGGCAGATTTAGATGGACATAGTGGCCATTAAAACACCCTCCCTACATGTATACATTAGAGTATTCTATGAACCCCATCCCACCTCTTTTTTAACAGCTTGAGAGAAACTTCAATGCTTCAGGATACTTTGCTCTTCTTGAGCTCCACGAAAAGATTTGACGGAAGAAATTTATCATCAAAATAATTCACTTGCGATCCACGGCGAATTAATCACTTTGAGAGCATATCTTTGTGGCAGAGTGTCTATTTCTGACCCACGCAGTTTGTTATGCTATATTCAACTATTTATTCACAAGAAGATTGGCAAACGATTCCCCCGTAAGTCTTAAATGAGATTGACTTATAAATTTATTTTGCAAACATCTAGGATCTAGGATTAATATGTTCATAATAGTTCTGTATCCTCGTGGCACCCTTTTGTTTTTACTTCTAAAAGTAATTAAGCTCGTGTTGTGAATTGAGGCCAAAATAAAATTATTGTTTGTTTGGAATTGCCTCCCGCCTCATTGAAATGACCCCTCCTGGAAAAATTTTATTGACCAAAAATAAGAAGCTTTTTTTAATCAATCAATTCTTGGCCTGTTATCACATGTGCCACCCAATCACTTAACAAGTGTCTAATCTAAGCAAAACGGGGTTCCTGGTTGATGGGAGAACGGCAGAAAATAATGTGTTCACTGAATACTCACTGGATAAAAATCATATCCAACCACAAATCATGGGAGATCCTTTATTTTTTAGGTTTTTGTGTACTGCAAAAATGTTTAAAAGGCTTTGATAATTAATTTTCATTATTATTTTAGTCTATTTTCCTCGTTTCATTGATTATAATGATTACAATCGGTTACCACTTGTTACCAATTACATGTACTGCTATTTGCTTGAATTGGACCGAAAGTCGTTCATAGTTCTACATGGTATCATTTAGTACCCAATGACTACCGTAGTTCACTAAGCGACAAGCAAGTGCTATCGGTGGTCGTTTTCAAATTACCAATAAATGAAATCCTGTGCGCACCTACTATAGTTGCTTTCAGGGTTCACTAGATTGTAACCAACGTACTTTGTTAGGTCACCAATAACTAAAATGGTTGCAAATGGTAGCAATTGGTTATCACAATTCACCATCGGTGTACTATCGTGATCGGGAGCCCGGGTTCGATTCTCGTTCGCCGCGCTGCGTCAAACCTAAGACGTTACAGGCCCGTAGGAAGCAATTTCAGTTTGGGGGGCACAGCAATACATTTTCAGTTGAGGGGGCACTATCAACCAAATATTCCTTGACAAGCAGAAAAAAGGTCATCAGACGTTTTTATTGAGGGGGCACAAGCATATAGTAGCTCTGTTTTCTATAGTAATCTATATATCGGCAAAATTATTGCCCCCCCCCCCCCTTCCTACGGCCATGGGTTAACGTCTATAGGTAGTGACTGTTCCTTCGCCAAGCATTAGATGTGAAAGTAGGTCTTTTGGGTGAGACCTTAAAAACCGAGGTCCCGTGTCAAGGAAGGTGTTGGCGCTATAAAGAACCCTCACTGGCCCTCAGTGCCGAGTTAAGGTCTAAATTTGAAGCCCTTCATCGACATACGGTTACGTCTCTATTTGAGTGAAAAATTCTCGAATGGAACGTTAAACAACATACAATGAAATGAATGAATCAATCAATTTTAAATGATGTTACCCAATCTAGAGTGTAGAAAGTTTGGTACATGACATCCCAAAAGAGGATAATGATTACTGCAAGTTCTTATTACACAAGGACCGATATGTGTAAAATTTGCATTTTGTTGATCAAAAAATTGTTACGTCCTATGCAACAATTATTTATCAATCATTCCATCAGTTTTGCATTTTTGAAAGACTTCATGATGTGTTTTATGGTTTAAAAATGCTGCAATTTCCGCATTTTAAAGGAAGAACAACAAATATTTCGCTTACAGTCCAATGAAAAATTTTAAGAGCGTTTTTTTTGGGGGGGGTGTCAAAGGTGCTATTTCTCGTCCACACAGTTTGTTGCAATTAATTTCAAGAACAGATATATATATATATATATATATATATATATATATATATATATATATATATATATATATATATATATATATATATATATATATATATATGCAAAAACGATCCCCTCGTTAGCCTTCAATGACTTTAAAATTCATTTTGCATATATCTATTATGCTTATACGTAATATATTAGTAGTTCTGTATCCTCGTGACACCTTGTTGCTTTAGAAGAACTTCTGAAAATAAATTTGTGATGTTAAATTTGATAGACCATTTTCTAGATATTTGTGTTTTGCAAAATGTTAACAGGGCTTTGAGAATTAACTTTTATCATTATTTTGATCCAGTTTCCCCATTTCATTGGTTCAAATGGTTACATTAAATGTCAATCTCTCTCTCTCTTTCATTTTTCATTCATTTTGTCTGTATTCTTACATCAAAAAGGAGCGTGACATAATTTAGATTACGAGTTACTTTTCTTGTTATAACGAGTTTAATATTTTTTTTACCTTAATTGTGAAAAATGAGCCTTTCCGGCTTTCGTATTCAATGACATATCATAAATAAAATAAAACTATGTGGTAAGCACACAAATATTGTTTATTAATGTTATTTCAAAAATTGCTTAGGATTTTTTTTTTCGTTTGGAGTTCTAGCAATTCTAAGTATTTTTCTAACTATTTTTCCCTATTTTTAACATTATTATTCCAATGAAGCGGCAGATTTTCAATTCTAGTAAAAAAAAAATATATATTTCATTTTTTGTTTATTTCGCTAGTTTAATGTATATATTTTTTTTAATTTAATAACAAATACGATAATAAAAATAATAGGGATTCGATAAATAGGGGAGTGTTCTTACCTGTTGGCGTCCGTAACGTGCTGTAAACTATCAACCGAAAAAGAATGCATAAATAGGGACAACCCATAATGTTCCGAAGACTTGGCACACATTAAGAAAACCATTAGGAAGTTGACACAAAGGTCACATTTGGCGAACCACAGAATGCATTTAATCGTCATACAGATGTTCAGAAGTGCAACATTTTTATTTGCAATTAGTGTGTACAACTTCTGCAAGGTTATTAATGTGTTAAAAGTCGTAAATACTGAAGTCTGACAAGAGAATGAACTCGGAAAATAGGGGAAATAACAGTGTAAATAACATTCGCTGGCTAAAAGTTCATATTTATATATAACAATGTGATAAAGATATTTCACAAGATATTATTTGTGGTTTCTTTATAGGGAATATATTGCATATAAAATACTAGTAGTTGACCTGCCTTTTTAATTATTACTACCACCATGTTCTAAAAACAGTAGCAATGAATTTGTGGATCCTCCTTTGAAATGGTAAACAAGAAATAGATTTTGGGGTACCAAATTAAAACTGTTCAATTGTAACATTGATTTTATGCGTTGGCCTCAAAGAGCAGTCAGGATAGTATAACACCTTGTTGTATTCCGGCAAAGTGTCGGATTTTATTTGAGTCCTTGGTCATAGAACTAGCCTGTCTTATTCAAATGGTAGGTGGAATTGTTCAAGAAATTCCACCAGTCATCCGTAAGATAGAGTTGTCGTGTGATACAGGTTTGTTTGTTTAAGGACAGATGATACGTTCCTCAATAATATATTATTTTTTTTCAAGATTTTGTCATTGAAGTATTGCTACTTTAACATGTTTATTCACAAAAAATTGAGGTACCTTACCAGGCATTTGTGCAAGGTACCAGAGGGTAGTTTTTCTTACATAATCCATTTGGAACAAAAATAATTTTCAAATATCATTTTTTTTTTAGTGTTTGGATTTTTTTTTAGGACGATTCGAAACTGGTTTAAAAATCAGAATGTAATTAAAATTTTGAATATTTTTCATATATTACGAAGATATACATAACAGATATTTATGGAACGTATCGTCTGACCTTAAGTGCCTAACAAGTCAGTGTACGAGGGCTGTTCGGAAATTATTGAGACTATCGCCTTAACTCCAGAAAAAAAAGAAATCAATTCATGAAAGTTCACCAGAATTTTATCAAGAACATATGATACAATTTTGCAAAATCTCTTGTTGATGGTACCATTGGATGAGAACCGATGAAATTCTAAACTTGCATATGTCCATTGACCCGAGATAATCACAACGTCATTTTAACGTTACTTCGGCATTAGATTTTTTTGTCACACTGAAACGATTGGAGAGCGTCAACTCTTCTTTTTTCTGTCATCACTTGATAACATTCTAGGAACCCAATTGGCACAAATTGTCTCCATTCTTAAGCTCTCCCTTCTTTACAAACTCGTGTGTTGTTGCTACCCTTCTGTCATCCTTTCAGTACCAACATGGTGACGTTAATGCGTTCAAAATAACTGATGGTCATCCAGCTTCTTTGCTTTCACTATGGTTAAATGATTTGTTAGGAAAATGTTTTAATCAGCAATAACCTAAAGTCCTAGATATGTTTCCTTTACATTGTGTTTTGTTTTAGACGGTCCCTTTTCTGAACAATCCTGCTCAGCTCTACACAGATATTAACGCATGCCCGCTGCTCCGCCTTGACGTCAAAATTCATTTTACTGTCATTACAAGATTTCTATAGCTTGATGAAAAATCTTTATGAAATCCATATTTCTAATAAAAAAATCTTTCAAACCTGCACAAAATAAAGTAAAGATAAAGATTGAAATATGATTTGTATAATTTTATGAATTTTTTATACATTCTGTGGGTCATCCAGAACTTAGTACGTAATATTTACAGAATTCAAACATGTTTTTGAGGCTGCGCCAGGTACCCTACCATCAACACATTAATAGGTCAATTAAAATATTTTTTAAAAAATATTTCTTGCTTTTATATACTGGGTATTGTTGGTGTTTGTCAAATGTATATACAATATATCAAAAAGCGTTGATTAGAAAGGAAAATATACAGAATGTCTTAATAAGCTCCGAACCTTGTTCAAAATAATATCAGTCGTTTCGGTATTTTGATGGTCTTCCTACAGTTTTTTCTTTTAAGGCTTTCCACAGCAAAACAAAACAATGTTCTGTATGTTTAACATATTTATTTTTTATTAACAAATAATAAATAACAAAGACTCCATTTTGAGGACTGGTGCCATGAAATCGGTACACAGACTCGCAGCTTAGTAACCATAACCTGCAAATAAAAAATATTTACTCTTAAATGGTGATTATTAAAGTATGTTAAACCAAAGTCGTTGTCGTTCATTTCGGAAAGTAGTTCTTTGAAAAAGAAATGAAAAATGATACCTAAAGCAGTTCAGCAAATCTGTTTGAATAATACATGTATGCTTCCAAAAGACGGAATTTAAATGTAAAGCTTTTAATGATTTTTTTAAATTACCTCCGAACTTTTTCCTGAAGATAGGTCTCATAAATCTGATTTTCCTGATTGGAATGGCCCTCATCTTTTTGTATGAAGATTTTCTGTATCCTCCACCGTAGCGTTTTCCGTATCCTCCGAACCTGGGTCTGTAGACGACCATGGGTCTGTAGTAACCTCCGCCAATTATGCCCTTTCCGTATTTTCCGTATCCACCCTTCTTTCCTCCAAATCCTCCACCAATGCCTGCTCCAGCCCCAGCTCCGACTGAGACACGGGCGCCTACGGCGGCTCCAACACCGACACCTCCTCCGATACCGACACCACCTCCAATGCCGACACCTCCTCCGACACCAAATCCACCGTTATCTCCTCCAATAATTACTGAGTCGTCAAATGATCCGCTGATAGCGTTAAGATTTCCACCTCCGTTGATGATTGTGCTGTCATCGAATGATCCGCTGATGGAGTTCAGGTTTCCACCTCTACCGATGATTGTGCTGTCATCGAATGATCCGCTGATGGAGTTGAGGTTTCCACCTCTACCGATGATTGTGCTGTCATCGAAAGATCCGCTGATGCTGTTGATGTTGCCACCAATGATTGTGCTGTCATCGAAGTTACCGTTAATGCTGTTGAAGTGACCACCACCAATAACAGTTGTGTCATCGAATGATCCTCCAATAGAGCCACCTCCGATGTTATCAACGAACCCGCCTCCGATATCACCACCGATACCTCCTCCGATACCGATACCACCTCCAACACCGATACCGCCCCCAACAGCGGCACCAACGGCAGCTCCCACAGACACATCAGCAGAAGCATGAGCACCACCTCCGATGATTCCACCATTATGGTGATCAAAGTGATTTCCATGGCCTATATCGTGATGGTCGATGATTCCTCCCTTTCCGTGGTGACCGTTGTCAATATTTCCACCATTAAATCCAGCATCGAATTGTCCACCGACTCCAAGTCCAACACCAAGATCAACCTGAGCAGATCCAACTCCAATAGCGCCACCCTTAGATCCGTGATGATCGATGTGACCCTGGTGATGGTCAATTACACCACCCTTTCCCCAGCCCTGGTCATGAACAGCACCACCAAGTTTATTGGCAGCCGCTCCACCAATGGTTCTCCAAAGCCCGACATCAGCCAGGGCCATGACGAGACAAAGGGCGAGCGTTTTCTTCATTGTTAATGCTGCAAAAAAAAGGAAATTATAGACCTTGTCTACAGTGTGAAACACAATAACTTGTTCTGAAACTTGATGTGTAACTTTGGACCTCGGGGTATGTTGTTGAAAAGTTGTAAAACATGATTGTACCGTAGTACGAATGACGAAACAGGTAAATTTATTTGTTCACTACCTTTATAATGTAACAGTCCAAAACAGTTTGAATTTAGAATTCTAACAAGAAACCCACTGACTGAATGTAAAGAAATTAAGCATGTTGAATCCTTCAACCTATTTTTTCCCTTAATATCTTTGTGGATTTTCAGTACAATATTTGCATGCTCGTGGAAAGAACAGTTTGCAGTTACAAGAGAACTTACTTGCTCGGAGTCTTTCTTTGGACACATCCACACTATGCACGTGCAGCTATATATATGCCCTGCACTGTCTGGATGTCCGAGTGCTCTATCATCCCTAAAGTGTTAAAATCTGTCATGTTAGATAACAGTTTCATTGTCTCTGGCCAGCCATTTACGTAACCCGCCATGTTCAATGTCCGATACCAGACAGATGTTTCATTATATTTTGCAGTCTGATGTGTTTATTGTGAGAGACCCTCCTTTAATTCACAAGCTAAACTACATCGAGAATAAATCTTGAAAGCACGTTTGTCTTAAATTTTTGAACCTTTTAGACAAGCGTCCCGAGAATCTGAATATAGACCGCTGCTGACGACAGTTGCACATTAAACGACAACGAGCGATTGTGTGTATTGCATGGGTGTTTTACGAGAAAAGATATATTTTGTTCGAATTTTAATGTTATTCAGGGATGTGTACTTCAGAATGTTTGTTGACATAATCATGGGAATTTAAATGATGATATTCTATAGAATAATATTCCATATTTTAAAAAGTTAATATGGATAATTATGAGAATGTTTACAAATACCAGTCAGTAAGTTGTAATAAAAAAAAATAGAGATCGTCGTTTGAATTTCCGAGGTTTTCAATGATTTAACCATTTTAATGCCTCGAATTAAAAAAGAGTCTTAATTTTCTTCTAAATAGAATCCATAAAACGGTTTCAATTTTTGCTGCAAGTATATGCATCTATTTTCCCTCTAAAATCAGTAATTATTTATTATATTAGTGACATGCGTGTTGTTAAAGAATACTATAAAATTTTACAGCAAAAATACGTTTAAAATTTCTTAAAAGATCTATATGTGTAACTCATTATTTAGATACTAGTATTACAGTTAGGACATTATGCATAGATACATACATATATGATAATGTTCTTTTTGCTAGGATTTACGTAGAATATACGAGAAAATGAAATATCCGTTATCTACTGACAAAAAATAATATATAATAAATTAATATTAATAATACCTTTGGAGAAGTAGAGAGTTGCAACCCACATAAGTATTGATCTGCTGCCCGAGATAAAAACTGAAAGGTCTTCAAGTGGTATAGCATGGGCGAATTTAGAGAGTCAAGGGGGGGGTGTCCCCCCCCCTTTTCGGACTGAAATTTTTAGTGTTATTAAATTTCTGTGTAAAAGTAACGATCAAATGACCATTGAACCCTAAGGAACAAGGACCCCTATAAAAACGGTAATAATAAAATTTAGTTAAGATAGTGCCCCCTCCCAAAATAGAATTTTTAGGTTTGGACTCCCTCTGCGTGTCAAAAAATGTTTTTTCCAGATTTCAGTACTCCCTATCTTAGGGGATTGTTTTTTCATTAAGTCGTGTGAGGATTGCGTATTCATTTACAAATCAATGTACATATTTCCTTTGTTTTTGTAAATAGTCCAAACAAATTTTCTAAATCGCGCAATCGATTTTCTAAATCGTACAAAGAATTTTCAAATTTTACAAACAAATAACTAAATCGTACAAACGATTTTCTAAATTGTACAAACGAATTTCTAAATCGTTTGAACGATTTAAAAATCGTACAAACGATTTATTTAAATAATTGTACAAACGAAGTTCTAAATTGTACAAACGAATTTATAGATCGCACATACGATTTTCTTAATTGAACAAAGGAATTTCTAAATCGTTTGAAAGACTTAAAAATCGTATAAATGATTTTCTAAATCGTACAAATGATTTCAAAATCGAACAAACGAATTAATAAATCGTTCAAACGATTTAAAAATCGTACAAACAGTTTTCTTATTCGTACAAACGAATTTCTAAATTGTAGAAACGAGTTTCTAGAACGATTTCATTTATTTTTTTCCTGCTAAATTGAAATGACACTTAAACGTACGCGCCGTCGTAGAATTCAAAATATTAATTGAAAAATTATGTTTAAGTATTTTCTTTGGGTCTTTCAAATTTGTATGAAATACGATTTTGACTAAATCGTTTGCTCTTTCTAAAAAATCTTTGTTTTGCAAACTGTAGAACATTTCATATTAGTACTAGTGGTACATTGTAAATTAAATTTGTAAAATTTACAATTGTCACAATTTTGAATTTCTTAAATTGCAAAACTTTATGTAACATTAGTGCAGTACCATTTGGCATTGTACCTCACCTGAGCCGATGGTTCAAGTGAGCCTTTCTCGTCAAAGTGTCTGGCGTCTGTCTGTCATCTGTAAACTTTTCGCATTTTCGACTTCTTCCCAAGAGCCATTGGGTCTATTTCAACCAAACTTGCTACAAAGCATCCTTGGATGAAGGGGATTAAAGTTAATTCAAATAACTACAACGCCCTTTTTCAAGGGGAGATAATCAAGAATTTGCGAAAAATTGGTGGCATCATGCATTTAAAAATCTCATGAAGAACCATAAAGCCAGAAAGGATGAAACTTGTGTGAGACCTTCATTACATCTCTAGATTCAAATTTGTTCCTATCATATCATAAAAGAACCCTAGTGGGTAGGACAAGGCCACAACAGGGGTTTAAATTTTTACAAAAAAATGTATAGGAAATATTTTAAAAAAATCTTATTCTCAAGAACAGCGATGCCATTATTAGTCATATAAAAGAAAATTATCAACAAGTAGTATAGATCCAAATTTGTTCAATTCATGACCCCCAGGGGTAGGGCGGGACCACAACAGCGGGTCAAAGTTTTACATAGCAATATATAGGAAATATCTAAAAGACATCTTCTTCTCAAGAACAGCAAAGCCATTTTTAGTCATTTTAATGTCATATTTTCAAACGATCTTGAGCCTTAGGGGTAGGCAGGACCACAACAGAGGATCAAAGTTATACATAGGAATATATATGAAGTATCCAAAAGAAATCTTCAGAACAGCAAAGCCATTATTTGTCATATAAGTAAAAATATTTGTCATATAAATAAAGAAGCATCCTCAAATAGTATACTTTCAATTTTTTTTTTCAAATAATGACCCCTGGGAATAGGGTGGAGCAACAACAGGGGATTAAAGTTATACATATGAATATCTAGACATATATATTAAAAATCTTCTCAAGGGCAGCATAGCGGCTGCCATGATAAGTCATACAATGTATTTATATGGAATAATCCTCAAGTAGGGTAGAGTGAAATTTGTTCAAATCATGACCCACAGGAATAGGATGGGGCCACAATGAACAAAGGTTAAACAGGGTAGAGAGATATTTGTTCGAATCATGACCCATTATATACAATTAAAAACTTTTTTCTTCATAATTCAGTTAAAAATCATTGGAGCAGAACAAAATGCAAACTTCATCTGCAACTCAGCTACATATGTAGGTAGACTCACATAAAAAATCTGCAAGGGTTTAGGGGGGAAAAGTTGGAAAACTGGTCCCCATAAGAAATTTAAAAGGGCCATAATTCTGTAAAAAAAAAAAAAAAATCCATGAAGTGTAACAAAATGCAAACTTGATATGTAACTCATCAAGGTACACTCACATATCGCAAAGCAGCTCAATGTTTATAAACATTTTTAAACTAGAAATAATTGTCCATAGGACATGAATGCCTCGCCAAGTGTATATCAGTAATGCAGCATGAAAATTTATATTAGTGTATGAAGTTTGATGAGAATATCTTGAATAATTTCTTTAAAATTGAAATTGAAATCTAAGAAAAAATGGATGTAGATGATAAATTCTCACAAAAATTATGTATAAGCTTACATAAAAATATCTGCCATTAGACATACATGCATGCTTTGATCAGAACAGCTCATCTCACATGATTAAAAAAGTGAGGCCACAGGAAAGTGCAAGGTCAAAAATTTCTGATATAGTTGAATAGTTCTCACTAATTATGTACCTGCATATTAAGTTTGATAGAAATATCTTGAATGGTTTCTTTCAAACTGAGCAAAACACAAATTAAAGAAAAGTGAGGTCAAGGTGAAAGGAAAGTTCAAGGTCAAAAATGTTGATGCAGTTGAACAGCTTACATCAGTATATATTAGCATATGAAGTTTGATAAAAATATCATGAATGGTTTCTTTAAAACTAGGCTAAACACAAATTTAAGAAAAGTGAGGTCAAGGTCAAAGAAAAGGTCAAGGCCAAAAGTTTTTAATGCAGTTGAATAGCTCTAACTAATACATATCAGCATATCAAGTTTGATAAAAATATCTTGAATGGTATATTTAAAACCGAGCTAAACACTAATTTAAGAAAAGTGAGGCCAAGGTCAAAGGAAAGGTAAAAAAAATGTTGATGCAGTTGAATAGCTTACATCTTTATGTATTAACATATGAAGTTTGATGAAAATATCATGAACGGTTTCTTTAAAACTGCGCTAAACACTAATTTAAGAAAAGTGAGGCCAGGATCAAAGAAAAAGTCAAGGTAAAAAATGTTGATGCAGTTGAATAGCTTATTTCAGTATGTATCAGCATATGAAGTTTGATAAAACAATCCTGAATGGTTTCTTCAAAATTGAGCTAAACACTAAGAAAAGCAAGGTCAAGGTCAAAGAAAAGGTCAAGGTAAAAAATGTTGATGCAGTTGAAAAGCTTACATCAGTATGTATCAGCATA